GACTGCGACGCGCGGCTCAGGGGCTGGCAGCCCTGCCCTCGGGCTGATCATCGAGAATGAACTTGTACTCTTTTGGACACGCCGTCCAAGTATCACTCGGCCGTGGGTGCTTCCTTGCACAGCTCCTGGTGGTCTCTACTTGCTCCCGCCTGCAATATTTGCGATGGCAGTACACGCCGCGGTCCAACATGTTGGCAACTGCACTGCGCTTCTGAATCCTTGCTCTGCACTTCCTTCTCCAAACCTCCACAACAAGCACGGCAGTCCAGGAAAGATGCATTGTCGGCCAAGCTATCTTCGGCAGGCTTTAGACCGCGTAGAAGCCTGCACGGCACAAGCACACGGGCACTTGAAATTCTGAAATCCAAGGAGCTTGAGCCGCATCATCTGCTCATAATTAAAGTTGCGCGTGACATTGACAAGGGTCAGTGGGGCGGCATTGGTTCCGTGCTAGATCTTCTGCCTTCCAAGCTTCGCATGACACTGCTTTGGTTGGCATGTTGGCACCCCCTCTCAGTACACGGATAAGCCTTGCAGGGCCAGAAGATCTGTTGCGGGCAGCGCGCGAGGATTCCTCGTGCCACTGCGCACGTCAAGACGAAGTCTCACGTTTCTCTCGCGCCGAAAGGGTCCACAGGCGCGGGCCGGCAGGGCTTGGCCCGGAACCGGGGCAAACTATGGAGGGGTCTGAGTTGCTGGGAACAGCGAGGACCTAGATAGCCCTACAGAGTCCCTTTGTTGGATGGGCTGGCTGTAGAGTGAGACCCTGCATTCTGGAAGACCATCCACCTGTCGCCGCGGCAAGCTTCGAAAACTTGTATGCTGTGGCCGGCTGTAGCTATGGCGACCCTTGAAGGCATTCCGACTCGCAGGAACCGATTTCTTGCTGTGGCTTGTGCACAATTCCAGCAGCTTCTGTAACGCAGTGTGATCGATCGATAAGGTGTACATTCAATGGACCTAACTGTCACCAGGTTTGCGAAGCTGCAATGCTGGCTCTACACAGACGTCACTTTCTGATTCGCACCACCTAAGTCGCCAGGGAAATCCGGAGGGCTTCAACACCAGCTTGCAGCTCTGAGGATCACACCGTCGATCGCCGCCAGGCCTTGATTATGGTCGACCACACCAGCTCACAGAGACGCCTACGTTGAAATACGTTGAATGGAGCCGAAGGATAGCAAGACAAACCGAGACCTGAATCTCAATTTGCTCGGGCGAAGCGGCATTCGCTCAAGCAAACCTCATGAAGAAGAGGCCTCCAAGCACCGAATCGGCTGAGCTCGGAGCCGGTATCTTCCGCATCAGTTGACATGCCTGAACCAGAGGAATGGGAGCGCAGCACGCAAGCAGAACACCGTCAGCAAACAAGTTACCGACTCTAATTTTCCAATTCCTTCCCATGCTCTTCTCGGACTGATCCAGTGGGGTTAGCCGGATAGTGCCCCTTCCCTTGCAGACGCTCCTATGCTGGCATCGGAGATGTTCTTCCCCTGGTAAAGCATCAGGACATGCAGCTGGTACCTCAGCACTCGTCTGCCGAAAGTTCCCAAATTCACACAAACACACACACACACAGGACAAACAAACAAACGCATTGCTATGCGTTGCTTAGCCGGTGACGAATTCGTCATCTTGCGCAGTTCCGCATTCTCGCGAAGCAGGTCGTAACCTGAAGACATCACTGGCGTCTATGCCGCAAGTGCAATTGCAGTCGGTGCTGCACATTCCTGGATAAGTGGCTTTCATCCCCGTTTGCCACTCTCAACTCAAGCAAACATCAGGGTGGACCGTTCTCGAAATCAGGACACACACGCAAAGAATTCTTCGGGAAGGATCTTGTCACCATGGACAAGGCGGAGATTTCCCCAGCCGATACACGTGCAGTTTTTCCACAAAGCCGTCACAGCTTGCCCAGTCCAGCTTCGGTCAGGGAACTCATCGAGTGAGGCTGCCAAGCCGGGTAGGCGGGCTTCTGTTATGCCAATTTAATGTAGGGGCTCTAGGGTTCAATCTGGTTTGGGGTAGACTTTCGGGCTTATGCTCCTCCTGCTGCCGCACCGCTGCTTGCCAAAGCCCGAGATCCTCAACCGACCTGAGACGAGCTTGAGCAAGTTCAGATCTTGGGATTGAACGAATGCCTACTGTAGCACAAGTCTAGCGGTCTCGCGCTTGCAGCAAATCCAAGACTCCTGCCTCACGCTTCGCGACCAAGCCCTCCTCGCCGAGTCTAGTCTCGGCGCACAGTCCGGTCCTCACGACGTTCGTAGTCACGATCATGTCTGCCGCCATCTCTCCGGTCTTCCTGGCCGGCACGGCGATCGTCACGATCATCTCTGCGATCGCTGTATCGATCATCACGTCGATCGTCTCTGGAACGGCTACTAGTTCGTCTTCGGGAATCCCTTCGATCGCGCCTATCACGATCATCGTATCTTTTGTCATCCCTGCGGTCATCCTGCCGGCCATAGCCACGATCATCTCGGCGATCACGATCATCCCGGTAGTCACGGTCATCTCGTCTATCGCGATCGTCCCTGCGGTCTCGATCGTCTCTTCGATCACGGTCATCTCGCCGATCTCGGTCATCCCGGCGATCACGGTCGTACCGTCGATCATCACGGTAGCCTCGGTCGTCCCTTCGGTCATCTCGGCGGTCGCCCCGCCGGTCTTCGCGACGCTCGTCCCTTCTCTCTTCCCGTCTATCACTTCGCCTGGCGAGCAAAACGGTACAAGACGCGACAAAGTCCAAGCAATTCATTGGCTCTTGCACGGCCTGTCGTCCCTGCGACCACTGCGACTTCGAGCGGGACGGTTGTTGCTGAGAAAGCTGCGAGAGTCCTCTCGTGTCAGGTCATCGGGTCGGGCATAATTCCAACGATTTTGTCAACTAGATCTCCAAGTAACCTCAACAAACGATCAACATCGAACCACCTTCATCTGAACCCTTCCGTCCCCTGACATGCCCTTTAGCCCTGGATTTCGGCATGTTTGGTCGAGTCTCATCCACGGTTTCTGGCTGCCACTTGACGAAGCTGGAGCCTGGCGCTGGCTCTTTGCACGAGCTTTGAGCTTTATTTGGATCCGTCTTCAAAGTACACTTCCTCTCAGTCGACGCATTGGCCTGTACACAATGCAACAACGGATCTAAATGGGGATGGCAGTATGGCCACCTAAAGCTTCCGCTACCTGAAATCATATCCCTGCCCGGGGCATCAGGTGGGCTTGACTTGCTTCTGGATTTCAGTTCCCCTTTGCGTAGAAGCTGAATTTCTTGTACCCTTTTGCCGGCTCCGGCTCCCGGGAACTTGCAAGGCGCAAACAACATCTCGCTGCCTCTTAGAAAGACCTGGAGGAAAACCCGCACAGGGTGGAATTCTGTAATTGAAGACGCTGAAGAGCTGAGGGGTGAAGTTGGAGTACATCAATGAGTGTCATGAGGAGACCGAGCTGCAATATTCCTTTTAGAGGACGCCCTGGTCATGTCGCCCAGTACTGTTGAATATTGAAAATACTTGAGGGGCGGGGACAGGGGAACGAAAGCTAGCCTAGGCT